GCGGAACTTGATGACGGGGCGTCGCTGCACGTCACCGGTGTCTTTCCCCTGCCCAGGCTTAAGCTAGACAGGCCCCCAACCAGGGACTCTATACCAACAGCCGGGAATGGGATACCGATGGAGCGCGGCGTGTCGCCCTGAGCTCGTGTGGTGTCGGGGTGGTCCCGCTCGCGTCGCGCCTAGCGAAAAGCGACGAGCGGTGGTCTGGTGCCGCCGCGGCTTAGGCCGCCGGTCTTGCGATGCCGCTGCGTCGGCCAAAGGGGTCAGGTGGGAGGAGTACTAGGTCGTATTCATGTCCTATAGACATGAACTCTAGGCTCCCAAACCAGATCACCGTGCCGAGACGTAGTGGCCGTATGGGGTCTGCCATCCGAAACTTGTTGGGACGATTAAGCTAACACGCAGTGGCCCCTACCTGGCGCGCCAACTGTCGGTGTTTCGGACCGGGGGTCCTCAATCAACTAGTGAATTTGAACTGTGTGCCCCTAATCCCGGATGGTGATGCAAAGAGACACAAGGTTTATATTGGTTCAGGCAATCGGTGCCCTACGTCCAGTCTGAGAGGTTGATCTTGTATTCCTTGCACCGAAGTGCTTATAGTAGGGGGTTACAAGCTAGGCGAGAGAGAAAGCTAGTCCTAGGTCTCTGTGGGGAGCGGTGCGGGCTGCTTGAGACGTTGCTCTTAGGCAGCGAGGGAGCGTGCGTCTGAATCTTCGTGAGTCTATGTGAGTGCTCGTCTGACTTCCTTGTCTCTAGAAACGGCCCCGGTCTCTCCTTTTATAGTTGAAGGGGGGACAGGGGTGATACATGCGTTTGCTATGCAACGTCTTGTAAGCGGAGGTGGCGTGTCTGAGTCCTGTAGCTTGCTACTGTGGCGGCATGGTCAACGGGGTGGTCTTGTCCTTGGTGCACTGGAGCAACGCGCCGGTCACACCCAATCCTGTGCGACATGGGAGCTCCAGTGATAGCTTGGCGCAGGGCATGGCCGACGTCGTGCCGGTCGCTGTGCGTTGATAGTGAAAAGAGCCGAGGCTTAGTTAGTGCCGAGGCCGAGCTATCGTGGGGGGATCGGCGGGCGTGAATCCCGAGGCTGCCGAGACCCTGAAGTGGATTGTCGAGGCTGGGAGGGAGCAGTTGGTCCTATACACTAATTCTGAGGCTACAATGACCCGAACTTGACTCCCCACGCCGCGCTGTTCCTGGAGCAGGAATTAGGTGGCACAGTGCAGTACAGGAGCCAGTCATGGGCGCAGTGCTGAGCACAGTGGCCGGTAACCCCTGCTCAGTCCTGTCTCCCGTCCTGTCGGCCGCTCTGTTGTACTAAGTCGACGTGCGGCTGACGTTGCGGGAGTGGTTGGACGCGTGATGTTTTGTCAGAGAAGTCGGTCGAGACGGAGGCGACGAGGTTGTTGCCGAGCCGGCCTCGAGCGAGTCGGAGAATCGGTATTTCGTCCGAGGCTTTATGCGCGGGGCCTCGGGCGAATCGGAGAATCGGTAACCCATCCGAGGCCTAGCGAAGCGGGGCCTCGGCGGGAGGGCCTCGGCGAGAGGGCCTCGGCAAGGCGGAGAGTTGGCCTTTCGTCCGAGGCCTTTGCGGCGCGGGCCTCGGGCGAATCGGAGAATCAGCCGAGACAACGTGATCGTCCTTTGGCATTGATATTTGCAAAGTCTAAGCAATCTTTTCGGTTCTTGCTTAGGGTACCCCTTTTTATGGTATCCGACACAAGGCACCCCACGGAGGGGGGCGATTCCAAGACACATCTAACACGTCTGAGTGGCGAAACGCTTAGGCGCTCGGCAGTAGATAGGGAACTCAACCCGACCCACTCTTTTCACCAGGGACTTGGGACCTTCTCCCTCTCTCGCCTGTTTGTGTCCTCCGAGCACAGCCATCTGGGTCAGACGTGCAAACTAGAAATTTACTAGCCGATGATTCGAAACACTGACACTCTCTCTCCTCGTTGTTCTCTCCTATGCCTAGCAAGGGGGTGCCGCCAGTGGCCTAGCGCGGCCTGTCGGCACGTTCCTATGGCCCGGTGATGTCTGTGATAGGAGGAGGAAGAATGGGGATTAAGAAAAACAGTAGCAAATTCACTTCATTTGACGGATTAAGAAAAAATATAGAGAAAACAGATTGAGAAAGGGTCTGCTGAAACAGTTTTTTCAACTTATTTTGCTAATATTAGTTTATAAGAAAAGAGGATTATTTTTCTTAATTAAGTGGAGTTGCTCTAAGGTGGCATTTGGATGCAGCGTGGGTTTGGGATAAGGAAATGTATTGGGTTATGATAAGTTGGGTTTAGGTTAGGCAAACGACAATCCAAGCCCAATTCTTTTTTTTTTGGCAGTGGATACTAGAGGACTAAACTTTAGTCCTGTTACATCCGATGTTTAGATGTTAATTAGGAGTATTAAATATAGATTAATTAAAAAATAAATTACATAGATAGAGGCTAATTTGTGAGACGAATTTTTAAACCTAATTAGTTCATGATTTGATAATGCGGTGCTACAGCAAATATTTTTTAATCATAGATTAATTAGGATTAATATATTCACATCGCTAATTAGTCTACTCCTATATAATTAGTTTTATAATTAGCTCTTGTTTAGTATTTTTAGTTAGCATCCGAACGTTCGATGTGACATAGATTAAACTTTAGCCCGTGGATACAAACACCGTAGCCGAGTTTAGGGTTTGGGTTAGGTGGGTCCCACGGTATTAAGAAAAAAAAACACACAGCATATACGGCTCCATCCTCATCCACTCGCTCAGGAGCAAACCACCAGCGAGCCAAGCAACTTCCGTTGGCAGCAAGTCTTGGTAGAGGGCCGCAAGGCAGATTGCTCCAGCAGCCAGCGCGTGAGGGTGTGACCCAACAGCAAGCGCGGCTTCGCAGGACGGCGGCTCGACGGCGTGCGAGGCGACGGCCCAGGCGCACCTGGCTGCGGAAGTTTGGTAGATTTGCCACAATGTAGCATATCTCCAACCATAACATTCAAAACATAAGATTTATTCGTCCTTTGAATAACATTATTAGCAAAAGATTTAATACATATTCGGTATCTTTTCCAACAACGAGACATAGAAGAGAATCATTTCTGTAAATAGGTTCTTGGAAGAGAGGATGTCCATATTTGGATTGGGTCTTTCATACAACCTAAAATAGGTCTTTCATATATATATATATAGGTTAATTTTAGGTCTCTTAATATCCATTTTATGTTTGGATGTTCAGTTTTTTTTGGACAGTCTTAGGCCTGTTTTTACGAAAATTTTTTGGGTTTAATTTCATCAGAAGACTTTCGTTTTTTGTTTGGCAAAATTGTCCAATTATGGACTATTTGGCTTAAAAGATTAAATCTCACGATTTCTCGATTAACTGTGTAATTAGTTTTTTTTTCGTCTACATTTAGTACTACATGCATATACCGCAAGATTTAGGGAATCTTGAAAATTTTTGTTTTTTTGACTTGGAACTAAACGGGGCCTTACAAGCAATCGCACGGCTCCCAACGGCGTCAAGATCCGCAGCCTCCAGTCTCTTCCTCGGTTCCTCTTTCTCCTACCGCTTCCTGGCTGGCTTCCCCGCTTCGGCTCCAATGGCGTCTCTCCTCCTCGTCCCGCGCCCCACCCGGAGCCCATGCGCGAAGCCCGGACCCAGTGCCCCTCACAAGCCTAGGCCCGTCTCCATCACCTGCGGGCCGCGCGATAACCGCGGGCCCCTCCAGCGCGGCCGCTCCCTCTCCACGGAGGCCATCCTGGCGATCCAATCCCTGAAGCGCCTCACCTCCGCCGACCGCTCGCCGGCGGCTGCCTCCGCTGCCGCGGCCACCGCCCTGGGCCGCCTCCTGAAGGCGGACCTCGTGGCCGCCATGGCCGAGCTCCAGCGGCAGGGCCACTGGTCTCTGGCCCTGGCCGCGCTCCACGTTGCCCGCGCCGAGCCCTGGTACCGCCCCGACCCGGCGCTCTACGCCACCTTCGTCTCCTTCGCGCCGGCCTCGCCCTCCGACGAGGGCGAGAGGCCGAGGCCGCCGTGGACGCGCTCGTGGAAGCGTTCCTGGAGGGGAAGGCGCGCGGCGGCGGGTTCGTGGACGGGGAGGAGGACGTGTACAAGCTCACGAGGCTGCTGCGCGCGCTGGTGGCCAAGGCCAGGGGCCGCGCGGCGTGGAGGGTGTACGAGGCGGCCGTGAGGGAGGGCGGCCTCGACGTCGACGAGTACGTGTACAGGGTGATGGCGCGGGGGATGAAGCGCCTGGGCCTCCACGAGGAGGCGGCGGAGGTGGAGGCCGACTTCGCCGAGTGGGAGGCCACGGTCTCGCCGCCCGCCAGGGACGTGCTCGACGAAATGCGATCGAGAGACGAGAGCAAGACGGCTGCCAATGCCTCCTAGTCCAATACCACTAGAATTAGTGTCCTGCTACTGTAACAACGGTGATACGTCTTCTAGAAATCATACGGCCACTTACAGCAAGTGTTTTAACAGTTGATCATTGCAGTTGCAGCACATACACCCTTACAACTAGCTGTTGCAGCAATCTGTTCAAATTTCAAATTTGGATTGGTAAATGGCCGCAAGAGAAACAGAACAGCAACAGGATGTCAAAGTCTCTCGGCGGTTTCTTCTGTCCATACTTCACATTTCCAGCTCACGGTCATTGCGACTGCAGCACATACACCCTTAAAACTAGCTGATGCAACAATCGTTTCAAATTTCAAATTTGGATTGGCAAATGGCTGCAAGAGAGAAAACAGCAAGGCTAGTTATTTCGTATCGTACATGATGTCAAGGTCTATCGACGGTTTCCAGTATCCATACTTCTATAGCTCACGGTCAGTTTCACACTCAACACATTCACATTTCCAACTACAGAATCAAGGGCTAAATTACATGGTAACCATGATGAACGGGCATCCTTCTGTTCTAGCACTGTTACATTTCAAACCCACGAACAGCTCTACGATATTTACCCAGGTGTATCGGCGCGGCACAAGGAACTCACTCGAGACCATAGTCTTCGCCAAAGTATTTGTCAACCAAACCGTTGGCCATATTCCTCATCACCTCGTTCTCATGGAACTGGAACCTCTCCATAGCCTCGATGCCGTCCTCTGCCTCCACGAGCTTTGGACCCTGACTGTTAGGGTATCCTCTCATCACCTGCAAAATGAATTTGATTTGCGGTAAATATGAATCCCAGTAGACAAAAGACATGGCTAAATGCTTTTAAGCATTAAAATCTCAGATTCCCTTACCAGTTCCAGGAACTGAAGCCCAAGTCTCGCACTCTCTATATCAGCTGACCTCACCAAATTTATAAATCCTGGAAGGGCTCCACCATCTACGATGGCAACTAAATGTTCAATGATTATGTTTGGGGGGTTACCACTGCCTGCTGGGACAACACACAGATTGCCCAGGGTGTATGCTGCTTCCCTGCGGATGTCAAATTGTGCAGTCCTGAGGAGGTGCATCAGCAAAGGAGTCGCCTCACTAGCAAATATCAGTTTCTTATGCTCGAAACTGCCCGCTGCTATATTTGACATGGCCCATGATGCCTCCTATATAAGCAGTTAAAAAAAAAGACAAGATAAACCAAAGAATTATATAACCTTTTAGAGTCCAAATTAAAATAAACTTAGTCAGCAAATGAAAGGGCAACATACCTTCTTGAGAACCCTATTGTCGCTCTTCAAACACTTGATAAGACTTGATAAGGCTTGATCTGGAACAATATTTAGTTAGTAACTTAGTACTTGGAGACTAACACATACTCTAGAATGGCAAGCTGTTAGCTGATGATAACATCATTACAAGTGAAATATGGCGCTCATATACAATTAGCTATAAAGGATTATCCAATTATGAGCTAACCTGTGACACTGTTTCCAACAATTAGGACTGAATCAACCATGTAACCATCACCAGCTACAAGATTTCCTAAACCGCGAAGTACCTATTTTGAAGTAGAAAAGTCAATCTGTCTGAGCTGTGAAATCACATATACTAGCTATATATTTACAAGTTGCTAGATAATTCTAAAGTTACAAGAGAAATGATCTTGATCAAACAGATGCCAATTTATACAATGTACATTAATGGCAAATCCCTATTGTCTGGAAATCATTATTAGCACCTTCATACCAAAATATCGTGACAAACAAATGCCAATTTAGAATATAGAATAGTTTCTTGTGCAACAGTTAACGATAAAAGGTGTCCAAATAATAGGTGTTTCATTTTAGGGAAAAATCTGAAACTGAGAACAGGCACAAGTTAAAAATTGCGATGGAGAAAACGAAGATGATACCGGAATGAGCAACTGCAAGTTTTCAGATGCTAGAAGCCGCCCGATCAGCAACTGTGGCACAGAACTTCTTACTATTAGGCTGGTAGCTTTTTCTGAAAGTGCTGAAAGATAGACCACTACCCATGCCACTTCAGTTGCAAGTTCTTCATCCCTGAAGAGTCCAAAAACAACTCATCAGCAGCAGTAATGAGCGAAGCAAGCATGGGGATTTGATAGATTTAGTTAGTTGATGATGTAAACATGCAGAACTTAGATATTTTTGAAACAGACCAAACATAAGACTGCATAGAGAAGATTGCACAAAGCAGCCGATATATACAACACAGCATGGGTGCATACTGAGGAAAGGTCAGGAGATTGGGCATGTGACTATAACCCCTCCCAGCATATGTTTCTAAGATCTGCCATGGAGTGAAGATACAGGTTGCATGCCAGCGAATCTAAATACCCCAACAAAAAAGAACTGAGATTATCCCTAATTAAGCTAAAAAGAATGTATTTCATGGGACTGTAAGAACAAGGGACAGATAACTAGTATTTTTTGTTGCAAGTAAGAAACTAGCATCAGAAGTCAGAACAACCATATCTCTACTTGAGTTCTCAAAAGTCAAGAAGTGTACACAGAAGTAATGATGCAAAATAAAAAGATGTCAATAAGGTGGCACATACGCTTTTTCCAAGTTCCGTGTTATTGCATTCAGTACACCATCGATGCCAATAAGCTCATTCGCAGCCTTGGAATCAGGCCCCTGGGATAAGAGAAACAAATGTTTCAGCAAATGAAGCTTGGTATGTAGTTACAAGCATATGTAGAAACACCAATTAACTCCATCGGCAGGGTGTCATTTTCCAGATTCTGGACAAAATCCAAGAGCGCACAAGGATTTCAGTAACCAGCTGGGTTCCCAGTGGTTTGTTTTTGTATGGATTCTCTACTTGTGTGTTGACTCAACCTTAAAATAGCACTGTCTCTTGAAATATTTTAAATTGGCATCTAAAATCACCAAAACAGGCCATCATTTGAATTCTAGAATCCTGCGAAAGTTTGATAGCCAGGCAGTTAAAATCAGGAATTGGGATCCCGGCATCCCACTGTTGGAGCAATTTAGCATATAAGGTTTTAGAATATATTTTTTAAGTTTCGGGAAGTCTAAACTTCCCAACACAGATATGGCTTGAACTTATGTTAAGGGTAGATATGGATATGACTTGTGAACTACTCCCTCCCTGAAATATAGTGGATTTTCAATTGTTTTCAAACCATCCTAAGTTTAACCAAGTTTAAGAATATTTACAATATCAAATGAGCTCCATTAGATAATTAGATACATTATTATGAAATGTATTTTCACAAATTACCTCTTTCATATTGTAAATATTCATGTTCTTTTCAACAAACTTGGTGAAACTTTGGATGGTTTGACTTAGGAAAACTGAACATGATGGAGGGAGGAAACCGTTACAGTAGTACCATCTTGGAAATACTTTATCTTAGTTCAAGTTTAAGCTTAATAGCTTATGCTTAATTTTAATTCCTTCTATAAAATGCTCTTGGTGAAGAGACAACTGTGACATAACAAGCAAGAGAGGGACTTAATCAATACAACCTTGATGAGATTTGACAATGCCCATGCAGCAGTTCTTGCTGTAGAACCCTTATTTGACAGCATTAAACGGGCAAGAGGCCACAAAGCACCTTGAGCAAGTAATGTGCTTCTCAGCTCTGCTCCTTCACCAGCAACATTACCGATGGCCCATGCACATTGTTCCGCCGACAAGTGTGGTGCTCTTCTCTAACAGACATAGGGAGATTAAAACTTTTATAGGAGGTCAACCCAGTAGTCATTCTTGAGAATTGTGTATTCTAGAGACAAATGGGAATGGAAATGGACGCTATTACATTTGACCAACAAATAAGAGAAAACTAACCACCAAGGTGAGCAATGAGCAATGGTAGAGCAGGAAGTAAGGATTTAGTTTCCTCAGGTTCCCCTGCCGCTATGTTTGTAAGGCACCAAGCTGCCTCTAGCAACTGCAATTAAAAAGCATGAAGAATCTTGATAAGAGAAAAGATCAATTGAGTATAGCGATACAATTACCATCATGTAATGATCAACACATACAAACTTTACTCAGTTTAATTGTACTGTTAGGGCTATGGAACAATAAGTGGAGTGTGCTCAACTTGTTCATCTGATGATCCAAACAACAGATACTGCACTAACAGAGGGACTGCTCCAGCTTTAATTGCTGCATCAACTGGAGGTACTTCAGACTGGGACAACAAACGCCTTAAAGCACGAAGCACCTCTGTCTTCCTCTTCTGTGCCCCTTTTCCCCTAAGAGTAACCGTAAAACATATAATTCAAAACCGGAGTTCTTTTAATATGCGCTTCATATTCTATTCTAGTAGTTAAATTTGAGAGTGCTTGAATTAAGTTTAGCCCTTACAGCTAGCCGATGCGTAATTTCCAAGGCGAAAAATATCAAAAACAAGTAAACAGAAGCAGGATCACAAATAAACTACTGTGCAATTGTGTTCATGTCTGTAAATCGTATCAATGACCACATAGGGTTTTACATATGAAATGAGATGTTCAAGAGATTATCAAAACTATTCTGTCAATGCATCATAACCAAACTATTTTGACCTCCTGTAGATGCAATACAGGAAGAGACCTCAAAACCAAGACTAGGAATAATTCAAGGTGATGGCTTTCATTTGGTTGAGAAAAGGGAGAGCAGTATGATATATTCAGGCTATTAAAGAGTACACCAAGAATTAGGGCTTATATTAACATAAATGGAAATCTTTTTTATGGAAGGCACCTACTGGCTTGACAAAGCAGATTTCAGTTCCTCAACAGCCTGAGTCGTTCTAGCCTCAAGATCTGCTTTCCCTCGTCAATCAATAACCATGTCACCGTCTTCTGCTGCAGCCTCATCACTGCCGGAAAGAGCAGCTCGACATACTCGCTTTGCACGCATCAAGGCTTCCCTTCTTTCCTTCCCTATCACAAGAGCCTGCTCCCTCCTGCGATTAGCAGCTGTATTGTGCACTGCAACCAGACATACAACCAACTAAAGGCCTTAGAGGCTATACTTACTGCAGACTAGCAACAAGATCCACCAGTAGGATGCACCATGATATATGTTTTTTTTCATGCAATGTTGTAATAAGTTTTTTTTGTCGCATGATTAATTTAGGATGCAACAGAGTTAACATATATATAATTCCATTCTACTGCTCAACACCAACATCAAACAGTCTAAGGTTAATGTACTACCCTAGATTCATTACTTGCATAATTTATGCAGCTATAATCATAAATATAAAATTGAATAGCAATATTAGTGGTGGTGAACATGACACTGCAATTGGAACTTTAAGTAATAAATCGCCCTAATAAAAGTAACACGACTCTATAATGCTTCACAAGGGATTTAGCAGCTACCTACAGGCAGTGTTAACCTAAACGCTAAACGGTAAACAGTCGGTCACCTGCCATTTAGCCCATTATTCGGGCAAAACAGGAGTTTAAACGGGCAAAACAACCGATTAAACGGAAACAGTGTACCACCGTGTAGCGTTTAAACGGTGTGTAAACGGGCTAAACGGCCGTTTAGGTGAACAGTGCCTACTGGAGGTAGCAGTAGCCACTGCTTAATTTTCGGCCACACATGTCAAATTGTAAATTGTTTGTCATGCCAATTCGCCAGGTTTCGTTCACTACAGAATAACCCCTCAAACCAAGTTCCTTGCCACCTAACCCTGCTAATAAGATGAGTCCCAATTCTAATCAGCTCGACTGCTCGAGCAAAACAGTTATCGAACCCTGGCGTAGGCGAAGTTCTTCCCAAATAAGGCAATAGCAGAAGCCAGTAGAGCACTTAGCGCGCTCACCGCTCCTCGTTCCGAGAGCAACAGAACCGCAACGCGAGCTCAGGGTGATTCAGATAGGTTAGGGCTTCTGCCACGGCCGCGGCCCGCGAGCGCCTAGTGTTCGAAGCGATGACAAAGCAACGCCGGCGGGAGGAGACAGGAGGGAAGCGCGAGGGTGCACCTGAGGACTTGATGGCGTTGCGGTGGTACTGGTGGTGCGGAGAAACAGAGGGCAGCGAGGCGGAGGCGCTGCCGTCGGCCATCTTCCCCGGTCCCGGTCGCGACGGCTGAGCTCGGCGGCTGGAGTTTTTCTTCTTCTCTCTCTGGTTCTCGGCTGCTTTGTGATGTAAGCAAACGGGACGGAAACGGGAATGCTGCCTTTGCTGTTGTGGGTCAACACAGTCTAGGCCCGCTAACAAAAAAACACATTCTAGGCCCGCTATAAAAAAAACACATTCTAGGCCTATTTGGGCCTCCGGCGTTGCCGTGGTAGCCCAGATGGGGACAAACATGGGTGGAGAATTTTTTTATTTTCATATATTCGTTCTTTTTTGTAAAAGCAAATAGATAAATAAATAATGGAAAAAGTCCACATTACCTCTCTCAACTTTAGCGAAAGTTCACTTTTCCTCCCTGAACTCCAAAACTAGGCAAAACACCTCCCTCAACTTTTAAAACCGTTCATCTTACCTCTCCGGGACTCATTATAAGCAGTTTTGAAGGCGGTTTTATCTTTTTTTTCGGCTAAATCTTTGAAAAATCATAGTAAATCACCGAAAAATCATAAAATGGAAAATCCAATTTTGTTGAACTCAACATGAGTAAATCTACGTAATGAACATATAATATGGTATACTTTAGTACAAAGTTTTTGCTATAACTTTAGATTTATGCTTTTATATAATTAAATGGAATAATTCATAACTGCAGTTTCTATGTTTCAATTGTGGTGAAATTTTTATGGTGGACTAATTATTGTATGCTTAAACTGTAGTAAAAAATTCATACTCATTGGATTATGTATAGCTTAGTTATAGATTTTAATTAGGCTTATGCTTGTTAAATACAAATAGATTTTAATCGCGACTTGGATGAAGGCGACGAGGCGATCCGGAAGATCAACACCTCACACAAGACTTTGAAGACATATTGAATATCTACTAGATCAAGCAAAGTTCAGGAAAAAAATAATGGAACCAAATCAGCTGCAATGCTCACAAAGAAATAAACACAAAAAAAAGAGGAAAAAGCAATGCACAACGTGCATGCAAGGGAGAGAGGTGCACGTACTGATGTTCCTACCTTGCTTGCTCGCTTCCAACTCAGTCGAGAAGCCGCAGCAGCGCGTGCACTAGCCAGGGCGGCAGCGGCAAGCAGCGCGGCAGCAGATCGCCAGCTCACAGCAGCAGCGCCCACACAGCCAGTGCAGCTTCTAGGCAGAGGGCGTCAGACCCTGAGATAGAAGGGTGTCGGACCAGCTCCTAAGAGTCTGACGGTAGGGAACAGAGGCAGCCGCACGTAAGCAAAGCGTCGGACTGCAATACATCACTGTTCATCACGAGTTCACGTTCAGCCAAGCGTTGGACTCTGATCACCACCAAGCGTCGGACGACGGTTACGAATTTGGTTCCAGCAGAGAAACAGAGAGCGCCCGAAAAGATCCGTGGGCGTCGGACCTCGTCCGTTGTAAGGGCGTCGGACCGTCCGACGATGGACCCACGCATCAGCCACAGCAGGCGATGCAACGGTCGGTGGCATCGGCTACTGACACACGACTGCTACAGTAGCATCGGGCTGCTACACAGTTCAACTGGGACTATAAATATAAGTTACAACCGGCCAAATGATGTGTGGAGAGTCCGGAAAAAATAAGTGAGGTGATATTCTATTTTAGTGATCTTCACTTATGTAGTGCCTAGCGAAATATTCAATGATTAGTATAGGTGCTTTGCGAAATGCTTAGGTTAGTTAGACCACGCTCATATGTACTTGCTCTAGACTTATGTCTAGTTGTTAATGAGGTTTACATACCTCTCATCCAAAGATGCTTGCGCGCACCGTGCTTGTACTCGGTGGGACTTATAGTTTTATGAGACCACACCAATCACATTTGTGATGTGACCGTCACCGTGTACCGAAGGGAACAAGACCTGCGGTGTTTCGGCCGAAAGCTTGATAGTGAAGACGGCGAAGATCGGTCCAGAAGAGGCTTGCCGGAAGGCACATCGGAGACCCACTTGCGCGTGGAAAAGGCCATGGGCTATCCACGGAGTTACCCGACCGGAAGCTTGGCCCTTGCAAGGGATTCCTTACGAGGGGCTCCAACGAGGATTAGGGAGAACCTTGAACGCTTCTTGATAACTCAGTAAAAATACCAAAGTTATCGACGGAGGTTTGCATCTCTACATTATCTTTACCTTATGCATGTATATTGCTACCTTGGTTGTATGCTTTACTTTCCTAGTTTAGTTGATAGGCTAGTTGATAGGATTGGAACCTAGATTGTATAACTCTTTTGTGGTAGAGATAACAACACACCTAGTAAAACTATAGTTGCACATTTAGATAGATTATTTTCTTGCATAGGTTTTGACTAGGTGGAATTAGAGGCCTTAGTTAGAAGTATAATTTTAAGTTGCCTAATTTACCTCTCCCCCCCTCTCCCCCTCTCTTAGGCATCACGGTCCCTTACAATATCTTGCCTTGCATTCGTACACAAGCAGATTCAAATTATCCATATCTCTATGGATATTAAAAGTTATTTTCTATTTTCTTAAAATTCAGATTTGAATTGGAGCGGAGCGAAGAATTATCCACACCACTTTTAACCCTAAAACCTCGTATATCCCGAAAAACTAAAACGGACAACCAAACACCTTTTCTAGCATATTGCATCGGCTCATATAGTTCAAATTCAATCTACCAAACACATATTGTCAACTCAGCTTTTTTATGTAAAGAGTATTCTCAACTCACTTGCACCTACAAATTGCAGCTAACCAAACATTCTTCTCTTTAAAATGACTTTCTACCTAGGTGCGTCCGAATCTAGAATATATATACAATGCAACTTGATCTCCTCGGCAACCAAAACATGTCGCTCTCAGATCCGATCCCGTTGGCGCCAAGGGAGACATGCTTACCGCGTATATACGTATATACCGATAAATGCGCAAGCAAAGTGACAATGATGCTCCGATCCCATCCTCAACGAAGGTCGAAGTGAAGTTCGCGGAGGTTTCATGTGTGTGGCGGCACCGGTGTGACAGAGCGCACCACACACACCTCGTGCCGCCCTGCCGTGGCTTGTCCCAACTAGCTCGGGCCCAAAGTGGTTTCTTCAATCGCATCGCATCGAAAAAGCCTCCCGTCCTCAATCCTCTAAAAAAAGCCAGGCATCGCAAGCATTCATATTTGTCCATGCAAACGAAGCTAGCGTAAGGCGAGTGCCATCCCGAGAAGTAAAGCAACATGCGGTTGTTGCCCCCCTCTCGCCCAGCGTCGCTCCCCACGCAGGCGGCGACACGGCGCGCGCACCTCTCCCAAACCCTAGCAGCCGCCCTTCCCTCCCCTCCCCCTGCCACGCCGCCAACGGAGCTGGCTACCGACATGGCCACGCGGCTCGTCGGGATGGAGGTGGCGGGGCTCCTCCTCTCCTCACGATTTGGTGGCGCGGGTGACAGCGAGCCGTGGCTCTCCTCCCACATGGGTTGCGTGGAACCCGGCAGGGGCGCCCGCCGTGGCTATTGGCGGCGACGGCTGGTGTCCGGCTGGCGCGTGGGGATGGCGACAGATCCCCTTCTCCCTCGCTCGTCCCTTCCTCTAGACTTGGTGACGGTGGCGGCGTTGGCCTGAATCGCTGGATCGAGTCCTGGGCGGCTGGATTCGATGTCCATGTGGCCGGATTTGGAGCTCCGACGCCTGGACCTGGCACTGTCTCGGAGGGTTGGCGAGGGCGGTGGCTGGCCAAGGCAGAGGCGGTGATGACAGCAAAGGGTGTCGGCACCGGTTTCATCGCCGGTTCTAACGCTCATGGGGGGGCGGCGCCCACGGGGGTGGGGCACGTGTCTGGTGGTGGCTGACGTCGAGTCACAGCGTCAGTAGCACGTGCCAAGAGCCGACGACAGCGGCCGGCTAAGGCGTTGGTCGTGTGGCGGTGTTTCGTGAGCAGCAGAGTCAGGTCCGGCTCCGCGTTGCCCGACCGGAGGGGGTGATGGCCGACGCAGTTGTGCGGCTGCTGCGTGCAGCCGGCGCGTCGAGGCCCCTCTGAAGGGGTTACTATAGAGCGGCAAGACAACGGCGAATGTTGTGAGGGATAGCAAGGGGCCTTGCTTCTTTGCTCGACGTTTGTGCTAGAGGACTCCTTGGGCGAAAGCCTAGCGATGGCGACACCTGTGGGTGGCGCTTTGCCTGTTGGGGGGCGTCGTGTATCCCCTCTAACACTATCATCCAAGGGTGAAAGCCCGGTCCACTTTAGATGTGCGACGGTAGCGCCATCGACGTCGCTACCTTCCTGAAGGCGTCGCGTTTGGATTTCATCGTAGCCTCAATGTCTCTTCGGTGATTGTTCTTCGCTTCTTGGTGCCTCGATGACGCGTGGAGGCGGGTCTTGCTACGAGAAGTTGAAGCTGCTGCGTCAGGGATGTGGCTCGGTGTAACACCTTGGGTGTTTAAAATACTAAAACCTGACATGTCATCATATGCATTGCAAAGCATTTGGCATTTGGTGAAAACTTTGAGATGCATACACTAAAACAAGTTTATATTCATGTGGTATGTGTTGAATTGTATTGTTTGACTTAAATTCAAAGTTTGTTTGGTAAAATTTGAAGTAATTTGAAAAGACGTAATTCTTTAAATGTCCCCGTTTTGAATTCAAGTGTGTATTTCAAAATGTAGGCCGAATAGGAGATGGTTATAGAAGCAAAGTTGTAGAACTTTCAATTTTGAACAACTTTTGTTTTTGGAGATTTTTGAGTTGTTAGGAAAAATTTGAGAGTAAATGTTGAATTTTTGGCGTATGGCAATTTTGTAATTTTTTTGTGAGCAGTGTTCACCGCCTAAGCTACATTGCCGTCGTTCCTTCTTGGCGTTCAGCGTGTCGTGGCTGCTCTTTGATGTCATGTTTGCACGGGAATAGCTCCGTCGTGGCTTCCTTGAGCTTCTGCGCAAGCGCTTATAAGTACCAAGACGTCGTCATCGCTGCTTTTTCTTCCTTTGTTTTCACCACCGTCGTTGTCATCGCTCCAACAAGCTCGCATCG